AGATGGACCTGCAACGTCTTTGCTTTGCCAGCACTTGTTCACGTAACATGAACCATGAATGTACGTTTCATCTAAATATATAACATCTAATTTGTTATGTTGTTCAGGCTCTCTGTTTTTCTTCAAGCGTTCTAAATATTATATCTTGTAATTTTATGTCATTTCGCGCCATCAAAATTACTCTTTTCGATTGAGATTTAATATATTCAAAGCCAATCTCTTTAAAAATTAGTCTGAAAAATACTTATGTATAATTAATATTTATATACAAAATGATTTAAATCTTTCCGGTCGGAGTAGCGAGACAGATTTGAAATTTGTTTAGATATTTCTTCCATAAAACTTCCAGATTTCTCCTTTGAGTTTTTTAAATATTTCACTTATTTTGATTAAATTGATAGAAATAACAACAAATTCTAAAAATAAAAAATATAATTAAATAAATGGGAGCTCCCATACACAAATATGATTTTTTTGGTTCGTTTGCCACTACAGAATTATTTGTGCACGATTTCTACTCGGTACTGTAGCCCCGCTGGTTTATTTATATAAATATTTAATATTATTAATGATACTTTTAATTAAGAAAATACCAGTATCACTATTTATTTATGAAATATAGTCGACTTCAAACTATGAAAAAATCAGGAATTTTTTAATTTTATTTTCAGGGTATCCGTATCCAAAGAGTAAAACTTGAACCCTATTACTAAGATTTCACTGTCACTTGTATATCCTGAACCGTGAAAGATAGACAAGAAATATAGATAAGTTCTAAGGGGGTGTTAATAGGGGGTTCTAATAGGGTCTAAGGGGGTGTTATGCGCAATATAAGAATTTCTTCAAGTGAAGTTCTATAGCCTCTGCACCCCAACTCCACTCTCACCTTCACGCGGCAGGCCCTGTTAAGTTGAGCAACCTTACGGAAGACTGTGGTTTTAATCCCAGTGGGAAGTGAGGTCAACAAACGGACGAGAGATAGGGGGGATCACTCAGGCGTATCACGGCTGCTTGGTCTGGATGCCATCAGAGGAGGATGGTTTGTCCTAGGAACGGTAGCGGAAGAGTCCTACACTAAGTCCAACGGTAGCGTCGAAAATCCGAGTCAGATGGATTACTTCTCACCCATCAAGACGCCTTAGGCAAGCGGGTGGGTTAACGCGCCTAAACCCTTTAGTATTATGAACACACAAAAGAAAAAATGGCCCCGAGTTCCCAGCGGTAGTGCGATCCCCAACAGAGGCAGCAGTATGGGTGAAGGCAACGCCAGGGGTGCGAAGAATCACTGGGAGTATAAAAGCTGCCAAAACTCAAAACTAATAACGGGATTAGCGATAGCATCATACAATGCTAAGACATTGAGGACAGAGGATAGAATGGAGGAATTACTGTACGAACTTGATAAAATCAATTGGGATATAGTTGGATTGTCCGAAGTTAGACGACGGGGTGAGGAATATCTCAAGCTTACGAACGGACACTCTTTATACTACCGCGGATCTGATTCAGATAGACACGAGCACGGGGTGGGTCTACTCATAAACAAACGAATTGGTGGCAACATTGTTTCTATAAACTCAGTCTCAGATAGAATCCTATACTTGATATTGCACATAACGAGGAAAATCACACTGAAAGTCATCCAAGTCTATGCTCCTACCAGCACAGCTGCTGACACAGAAATAGAGCAAATGTACGAAGATTTAAGTGCATGCATTAAGGACCACAAGACTACATACACAATAGTCACGGGCGATTTTAATGCAAAGATTGGACTTAAAGAGAATGACTCGGAACAAGTATTAGGTAAATTCGGTTATGGCAGTAGAAACGGGCGAGGGAACACGCTAATTAACTTCCTAGAACAGGAGAAGTTATTCCACATGAGTTCTTTCTTCCAAAAAAGACCTGAAAGGAAGTGGACGTGGGTATCCCCAGGCGCAAGATACAAGAACGAAATTGACTATGTATTTAGTAGCCACAAATGTATAGTTAAAGATGTCTCCGTCCTAAATAGTTTTTATACGGGAAGCGACCACCGGCTTGTTCGTGCATTAGTGCAGATCAATGCAAAACTGGAAAGGTATGCATCAATTAGACGAAAAAAGACTAAAGTGGACCCAGAGTGCTTAATAATGAACAGGGAATCTTACCAAAAAGAAGTTCAAAAACACCTAGAAGTTAGCAACACCAATACGTCAGACGTCAACAATCTCCTAAACCACCTAAGTAGCTCTCTGTGTAAGGCAGCAAAAAGTGTTGCTATTAAAAACACAAATCGGTCGCATAAGCTACAACCTAAAACTAAAGAACTACTGGAGCAAAGAAGGTCTTTAATCAAGCAAGGAGAAAGTCACACAACCCTGTTTAAAACAATTTGTAAAGAGACACGAGTTTGCGTGGAGAGTGACATTGATGCGTACCGCGAAAAAATCGTTAAAAATATCATCCAGAAATACAGAGGTCCAAAAGTGTTTAAAAAGGCTCTTAAACTTGGTACCCAACAAATCACGAAGCTTTGTGACAAAGAAGGAAATATAGCTACTGAACGGAAACGACTCCTAGAGCTCGTAGAGGAGTATTACCAGCAGTTATACAGTTCTAAAAATCCTAAACCATCTAGCTTGTCAGATCGTAAAATAACAAACGTTGGGTCTGAGGACGTACCAGAGATAACAAAGACCGAGATACGCACTGCCCTATGTAGGATGACAAACGGAAAAGCCCCTGGTGAGGACGGCGTCATCATCGAAATGGTCAAAGAGGCTGGGGACGGAGATTATTGAGGTCATAGAGAAACTTTTTAATAAGTGCTTGGAGGAGAGCCGAATCCCGGAGAAATGGGAGAGTGCAACTGTCATCTTACTATTTAAAAAAGGAAATAAAGCTGATCTCAACAACTACCGCCCTATCAGCCTGCTGTCACAGTTGTACAAATTGTTCACGAAAATTATCACCATTCGTTTGACCAAGAAACTTGACTTCTACCAGCCAATCGAACAAGCCGGATTTAGGAGCGGGTACAGTACTATGGACCACATACTGACACTGAGGATAGTCATAGAAAAAGCCACAGAATACCAGATGCCCCTGTGGCTTGCATTCATAGACTACAAAAAAGCATTCGACAGTATTGAATCCTGGGCAGTAATTCAGTCTATGCAAAATGCTCGAATAGATCACCGCTACATTAACCTAGTAAGTAACATTTACCGGAACGGCACCTTAAAGATAAAATTACCTCCGGAAACCAAACCAGTAGCGATAAGAAGAGGCGTTAGACAGGGAGATACCATCTCTCCAAAATTGTTCACGCTGGTATTGGAGGATATCTTCAAAATGTTGCACTGGGAAAAATGCGGTATCAACATAGAGGGTAAAAGACTGAGCAACCTTAGATTCGCTGATGACATCGTGCTATTCTCTGACAACCCGACAGACCTCGAAGCTATGATACAGGAACTCAACAGTGCCTCTGTGCGGTGTGGGTTGGAGATGAATCTTGAAAAAACCAAGGTCATGACAAACTGCTCCAGCACAACCATTAACATCAAGGTAAATGACACCGTAATTGAGAGAGTTACAAAGTATGTGTATCTGGGACAAGAGGTCGTAATGGGAAAAGACAACCAGGCAAATGAAATTGATAGGCGTATAAGATTAGCGTGGGCAGCCTACTCCAAGCTTGAGTTCGCCTTCCGTATGAATATTACTGCAGAACAGAAGGCTCGCATACACGACCAATGTATACTACCGGTGCTCACATACGGAGCCGAGACTTGGGTGTTCACCGAGAAGATTCTCCAAAAACTCCAAGTAGCCCAAAGAGCGATAGAGAGGAAGCTGGTAGGTGTTACGCTGAGAGATCGTAAAAGAAACCAGTGGCTCAGACAACAGAGCAAAGTCACTGACGTCATACAGCGTGTTGCGAATCTTAAGTGGCAGTGGGCGGGTCACGTTGCACGCAAACAGGGATCGTGGTGTAAGGCCGTGATAGAATGGAGACCGTGGGGTGAAAAACGCCCACAAGGAAGACCTCAGATGCGTTGGTATGATGATATCAAACGAACAGCTGGCACGAAGTGGATGGAAACTGCCCAAGACCGAAAGAGATGGCAGAAACTAAAGGAGGCCTACACCCTTGCGGTTGAGAATGGCTAGAGAAGAGAAGATAGATAAGTTCGTTTTCTACATTGACCTGACCGGAAACCGGACCCGGGACCTCAAAAATGGCGACACCTAGAAACCGACGTTACGTTTCATTTTTACTTAAGATTAAATTTTGTGTATTACCCTCTCTTCTCAGTCGTTTTTCTTTATTACGATTTTTTATTTTATTAAAATATGTTCTTCAAATGAAATAAAAACTCAATATTCTACGCGGGCGAAGGGCATTGCAAGTAAATATATAAATAATCTTTTATTAAGTCTCACCAAATTATTCTACATAAGCTAGGTATTTTCTAAAAGTAACTAAATTTTTTGTAGTGGTTGCCCTTAGTTCGGCCTATACTCACCTTAATGCACGCCGTAACGTCAACATTGATTTGGATTTTTCGTTTGACGATTGGAGGAATATCAAACGGTATTAAAAGATTTAAAAAATATATATTCACATATATTGAGAATATAAAGGACCAATTAAGTAACTAATAACTCCGATAGCGAAAATAGCAAATAATATACCTTGTATGTAATTGTTATAAAAAGTCACGGAAAAGAGTAGTGTAATTTTAATTTTTGTTAACCACCGCCAAAGTATTACATGAAGTCGCATATAATGAAAATGTTATTGACACCCTATTAGACAGAGACAAATATCCTCCGTACTTGATATCTCGCTTTTCAGCTGGGAGTACTTTATCCTATTATAAGTATTAGTACTTGGACTTAGGTCCATGTATACTACCATTGTTTCTAGCGTCACTATTTACGGTCCGATGACATGTGTCAAAAGGGACCTTTTATTTTGAGAAGACTGACAAGAAGTGGGATTCTTTCTGATTGTATTCAATTGTATTTTTATGTTTATTTTTGCCATATGGAAACAATTCGTATGTAATTGGATTTAGCGTGACATTTTAATTTTCCATATAAAATTTAGTTTATGTGGTTCATACTATATTAATTTAATTTTTTCGATAATTCTACCAAAATATTATAAATGGATGTGCTTAAAGCAGAAATAGCAAGAAAAAGAAAACTACTGGAAGAGAAAAACGTGCTCGTAAGTGCAATCACCGTTTTACTAGTATTATGATAGGCCTTTGTCATTATTGTTTTTTTTTTTATTTATTTTAGGACAACAACAAAAAATACTTTAAACGTGGTGAGTTGCTTGCAAAAGAACAAGAAGAATATTGGCAAAAGTGTGGTCAGCAAAACAAAGAATCTGAAAATGAGGATATCAAAGAAGACAAAACAGAGATAGGTTAGTTTATGCTTTATTATTCAGTACTAAACAGTTGCACTGCCAGATTTTCTTGATTTATTATAGTGAAGTAAAATAAAGGAATTCGAGAAAATAACAATGTGGCACCATTGTTATTTTCTTGTATTTATTTATTCTGTTGTACCTCTCTCTAAGCAAAACTAAAATAAATAAATCTAATTTTGATTTTATTATAACATTCATACATTCCATACTCATATGTAATCAAAGAAATATAATTATAATCATTTAAAAATAAAATAGACAGGGCATAATCTAAAGTTTGTCTAGTTTATGTATTACTACTATTAAATATGAAAAATTATTTTATTTAGTTAGCAAACAAGAGCAACAAGATATAGATCAATCGGAATTAGTGTCATTACCAAGGACAGAAGTGATAAAACGGCTAAGGGAACGAGGGCATCCAATATTAATATTTGGAGAAAATGAAGCACAATCATTTAGAAGACTTCGGAGGATAGAAATACAAGAGCCTGAAGCAAACAGAGTAAAAGAAATTAATTGATATCTTTTTGTTTGCTTAAAACTATCATATGATCTTTTGCAATATCCATTCTATCTGCGATTACCAAATTTTCAGTAATTTATGTTTGAAAATGTGATAGAAACATACACAGAGACACAGTTAACTTTCGCATTAATATTTATTTGAACCTTATTATGGTATGTGCATTTAACAGCACCTGATTAAGTTTCTCAGTTCAATTTTAACCTTAGTGCATCATACTAATAATTATAGTGTCAATATCAACACTGAAAAGCAAACACTTAGTAACCCACAAAACCAAAATTGTTCTTCAGAGCACAATATCTTTTAGATTTTTTAAAATAAATTATGTATAAAGATTAAAGAAAGATTTACATTCATTTACAATATTGTAAATGAAAACTCATTTTAAAGGGAATTTTCTTAATTAAAATAATACATTAAGAATTAATAATATTTATACATATTTTTATTGTACCTTAATTTCTTTGTTTTAAACTCATTGACACATAACATTATTTCTTATTTGGTCTCTGTATGCCGATTTCAATTTTTTTGTGCGCTTATAAAGAAACAATCTGTTAAAATTTTTCAGGGTTTACGCAATGACTTTCAAGAAGCAATGGATAAAGTTGATCAGGCTTATCTCAATGAAATTCTTTCTCTTGGAACCCAGGTATAAAATATCATAATACATTATTATTAACAGGTCAATAGACTTTGAAAAGATTACTACCTGTCTTGACATATTATGACATATTACTACAAGTATATTAAATTGGTTTCTCTAAAACACGTCATGGGTTTGAGTCCCATCTCAGAGTGCCAGGGACAAAGAGGATTATTTAAGCATTTTTCATTAAGAATGAAATTTACAGAAATAAGAATTAATGACTATCTTCAATTATGCATAACTATTCATAGATAATAGGGATTGAGACCAATTATTGTTTTTTGTCTGTCAGGTAAATTGTTGAAAAATATTAAACACACATTTATTTTTATTTTTTCATAATGATTAAATTACGGCGATACATTGAGTTAAAATCTCACATGATGCCATGCTGTTGTACATTTTCTACAATACTGATGTAACAAGCCCCCATTCCTTAACTTAATGCCTGTTATCTATTCTTTCTTGTTTAATTGAAGTAAGAAAAAATACTTATCAAATATTTTTCTATTATCTGACTAAAGAACTAAATAGAATATTCTATGGTTTATTTTTAATGACCATCAAAATCAATGTAAATACAAGGGTAATGGCTTAGTGATTCTAGTGAATTCATTCTGAAAAGCGAAAGTTTTGAAACTCATAAGAGCGATTCTAGGATAAGTGAACAAAAATGTAATATCTAGAGCGCCCCAATGCTTTGAAAGTCACTTTCAAGCCGAAGGTCCCAATTGTTTTGGCAGTTGTTCCACAAATCAGCACTTTGCCCGTGTGATGAGTCATAGTACATCCTCTCTATTTCGATTTGGTCTCATCCATAGAGAAGGCCTGTACCACAGCAGTCAGGAAATCAATAGGCTGTTGTTAAGATAAGGAATATGAAATCAAAAGTTTATTTTTACTTTCAGAGTGAAGCTGAAAAGTCTGCAAAAGAAGATGCCTTAGATGATGTAATCACCTATGAATTTATACAAGAAATGGCTAAGACTATGGGTCAAGGTGATAGAAATCATGACATGAATGTTATTATGACTTTATTACAGGTGAGATATACTGTTACTATACTTTTTTAGCGCAAATACTTCCCGAAATTTAAATTTCATTAATTTTCAAAATGCTTATATTCCTCCAAAGAAACGCAATTTCCGATTATTTATGATGGAATGAAGGCAGGACCTAATACTGCTGTAATGTACTGACAATCTTCATGGATATGATTTTTTTATAAGAACAATATTTGATCAATTTTGCATTCACAATGCTATACTGAAAAATATTCTCATAATTTAAGTTACATCTGTTTAGTTATCTCAATCATATTATGGCTGTTGATTTTTTAAATAAATAAAATAAATAGCATTTTTTATTTCTAGTTTCTTCTAAACATGTGGGGTCAACAACTGAATTCTGCAACTGGTGCTGAAAAAACATCTGTTAAACATAAAATGGCACGTGCGACTTACACACAGACTCAAGTGTATTTGAGACCACTGATGAGGAAATTGAAAAAGAAGACGTTACCGGAAGATATATGTGACAGTCTTATGGAGATAACAAAACATTTGTTGGAAAGAAACTATATTATGGTAATTAATAACAATGGTTTGTTCATAAATGGTCACATTCTTTATTGAATTTGACAGAAAATGTTATCAGTGACTCCCAGTTAATATAAATTTTATCAAGATGAAAAAGTCCCAATGGATTGCACCAATGGAAATATAACAATTTATGAGCAAGAATATTTCTATATCATTTTTAATTTTATTTGAATGTTTGCACAATTTATGTATTTAAAATAGCTCAATAATGTTGCGGTTGGTCCCCGAGCAGTAATTTTCTTAAAAGTTGGTCTTTGGATAGGTGACTAAAATTTATTAGTTTGAACTTTTCTGTGTGTCAGACACATTAAATTGTGGTCCTTGCTGCATCGTCAACCACCACTACTGGGGTAATCCCAGCATTGGGGACATAAATTTAAAGAATTCCGTTTTCTTTTCAGGCAAGTGATTCCTATCTTCAAATGGCAATAGGAAATGCCCCATGGCCTATTGGTGTTACTATGGTCGGTATACACGCCCGTACCGGCAGAGAGAAAATTTTCTCTAAAAATGTTGCACACGTAATGAATGATGAGACGCAAAGGAAATATATTCAAGCATTGAAGAGGCTTATGACGAAATGTCAGGAGTATTTTCCTACAGACCCTTCAAGATGTGTTGAATACAGTACCACTAGATAATAAAATGTTTATCGTATTACATATTCGTTTTTTAAATTTCCATTTTTTATATTTCATATCGCTATAGATACGATACGCTCAAAAATCTAAATTGCTCATTGAGCGAATAAAATAATTCACATACAACGCGTTGTGGTAATCGCAGAATAACCATATAGTGAAAACATTGTAATCTTTGGTGAAAACCGTGTCGTAGTTGACATGTTATTCGACCTCAACGCAATGAGGAAGTATTTAAAAAAAAGAACATTAGTTCCCGAAATCAAACTAGATGTCGCTACGGTACGTGCTTGATTTCTCCATGACAACCTTCCGGTTTTCTTTCAAATTAAAAAGTAAATTAATTTTCAAAATTCAATAAACAACTCATATTCTATTTGTACTTTATCGTATTTGTATTGATATGTTAGTTTAGAACTTTTCAAATTTCAGTTTTTTTAATATGTTAGTTAAAAGGAACAGAAATTACTGTCTTTGGTCCATTCGTTTCCTGCAAAAATTAACTTTTGCTAGAGTCGCCATCTAGTGGAGGTGCTTTTTTAATGCTTTCGTTTTTTTTCAATAATTCCTCATTGTGTGTGTGCGTGCGTGTATGCGTGAGTGCGTGCGTGTGGAATACACGTCTCCCGGGGTTTGAGACGTCTCCCTCTGGCTCGATAATAAAACTAAAATCTTTATTTTCGAAAATATGGTTACACTAGTAATTAACAATTAAATGTCCAGCATATTTTGTCGTCAAGACGACGTGCAAATATTAGGGGTTTGGCTCCCTTCATTTGTCCATAATGAGATCTAATAATTAACTTGACTTGTGTAGGTATACTCAGTACTCAATATGGTAACATCTTTGGACCGCGTGGTATGTGTTCCATTTGTTTCCTACGATAAAAATCGTAATTCTCGTAGTCTATGAGTATACCATTTGTAGCTTTCATGGATTTATAATGATGAGAACTGAGATTCTTTCTCCACTCTTTGGATATGTAAACACTGGCTTTGAATTACAAGTCAATGAGGAATTATCATCACCCAGTCCCCAACAAGTGTTGACGAGAAAGGCTTTATTGTTGATAATTAAAAAGTTTAAAAAACGAGTAGCTCGGTGGCGTAGTGGATAAGCGTCGCGGCCCGTGATCGTAATCGTTAAGCAACTTTCGCAAGGGTTGGTCACGGGATGGGTGACCAAAAAATTATTATCTCGAGCTAATCCGTGCTTTGGAAGGCACGTTAAGCCGTTGGTCCCGGCTGCATTTGCAGTCGTTAATACCCTCCAATCCGCATTGGGCCAGCGTGGAGGGTCATGGCCCATCCTCCTTAACCATCCTTAAGGAAGGCCTGAGCCCCTGCAGTGGGGACGCAAAAGGGCTGGTGGTGGTAGAATTAAAAAGTTATTGTAACTTGCTTTAGAACATAAAGGGTAACTTTTAAAATTTATTGTATTTATAACATAATATAAAGAGCCCTCTTCTGTTTTAAAATAAATTTTAGAACATAATCAAGGGCTTCCTTGAATGTTATTACTCCTACACACATTTTATTGTGAGATACACACAAAGTTAAAGCCGGACAGTCGTCGCTCTTTGACGAATTGTTGCAGACTACGATTGTAGCCAGATAGCACATCTTCATATATTTTTAAAATGAATTTCAAACATGGAAGCCTCTTTTAGAGGGTAAGTTAAATAGGAAATAAAATAAGTAAAAGTGCTTATTGTGAGAGAACTTCAATTATATCTTTTATATAATTTTAACATACTTTTAATAAAGAATAAGTGGTACTAATATTACTCTATCCAACACATTTTGTCCATCAGGAAATAAGCGTTATCTGGCGGCCTTGTAATCTTACAATATTTTGGTTCATAATATTCACACTGATCCCATTTTGAGGAACAACACTCTGTATCTGTTATTGACTTTCTTTGTCTTATCGGATTTAACTACGAAACAGATAAATCACATACGTAATTTAAATTTTCGATTGCACTGATTAATTATCAAAGATAAAGCTATTAAAACGATAGTATTACATATTATCATAGGAATATTGGTGTCTATACCGATTACTCTAGCATTCTTAATGTTCATAACTTATACAATGAAGTTATTCTTTATGAAAAGTGTTACTTGTGGGTGGTACTAAAGTTAATTAAGTATAATGGACTTCGTAGTTACTTTAGTGTTCATTTTATTAGCGGTCTTCGTTGGACAAAATGACGGTAATATTCACGTAGAAACATTGATGCTAGTAAATGTGGTGGTGTAAAAGTAGCGCGCAAATGATTTGTTTATTTGCTGATAATTGCAATATCTTCTTCAGCTGCTGCTACATCACGTATTGTAGGCGGATATGAAGCACCAGAAGACTTTGGAAAGTTTCATGTATCTCTTCAAAATCTAACAGGTCACCACGTTTGTGGTGGTGCAGTTATTTCGAGATTTCATGTAGCCACTGCTGCGCATTGCGTATATGGGTAATATTTACATTAGCAGCTTTCACATTGCTACTTATATGTTATATATACCACTTTAACTTAGAAACATATTTTGAAAATTTTTAGAGCCGAGCCTCAGTACATCAAAGCTGTAGTAGGAACAACCAATTTAGATTTTGGAGGAAAACAACATGATGTTATTTCGATAAGGATTCATGAGAAATACAATTTTACTTCGAGGGCTAATGATATCGCAATAATAATAGTAACGAAACCCTTCGATTTGAAGTTGGTCAATATTTTAAAATTATATGAAGAAGAACTCGTTGAAGGCGATGGAGTAATTTTAACGGGTTTTGGTGCTGAAACTGTAAGTTATCATTTTAAATATGACAGTCGATAGTAGACATTTTAACTTTTCCAACAACTTGACGTGCTGTCGACTCTTCATCAGAAAACCTACCAAAACAATAGAATTTCTTCAACATATTTCACACCCTAACTTTACATTATCATCATCAGCTTATAAATCTTCTCATTATTGAGGCTCGGGCCTTTTATAATGGATAAAATTGAATCACATTGAATAGAGATAATAGATCCATGACCGTATTTGTGGCTATTTACGACTGCAGATACAGCCGGGACGTACTTTCATGTCTTCTGACGAACTGAGGAGCTCGAGATTACATTTTTGTTCTTCTATCCTATGATGACCGGCTCTAGTTAAAAATTGCTTAACTTCCGCATCGAACATCGACTGCGATAACTGCTATCCATATAAATGTCTTAGTATATAATCCTATCTAGATTCAGTCCAATTTTACGATTAAATGTAAAATTGGACTGAATCTAGATGGGATTGAAACCTTTACGTTTTTTTGTTGGTAATTTACTATTGAAGTTTTAGATTTACTTATAAATTGACTTTGCTAACTTTCAGCCTAATGGACAGTCCAGTCGTATAATGCACATGCTTCATTTACCAGTTTTCTCTCAAGAAATATGTCGTTTCGCTATGCGTTATAATAGAGAAGTATTTGACAGCATGTTTTGTACTTTCACACGGATTGGAGAAGGAACTTGTCACGTAAGCCATTATTACATTTTAAGAATATTTTCCCCTTTAAGATTAATTTGATGTGATAGATATTCAAAGATTTTTTCGTCAAAAATAATAATTTTATTTTCATGGTGGGTGGCAATCGGGAGAGTTATGACATACGTACAACATATACTTATGCTACTGGTGACTTACGTATAGAAATAAAATATCATATTTATTCCAAAACTATAATGGCATTTTGGCTATTTTAAGATTATTGTCTGTGCGCCTCGAGAACGTTTTGTCGACACCCAGGTTGTATTGTTGATCGAAGACACCCAAATGTCCCTTTCCTTGGATACGCCAATACGATATCACTCACTCTCGATCAGAGAAAAGTGACGTTTTGTGTAGACAAAGCGTTGCTCAAGTTCGTCATGCTACTTGTACTGGTTTTGACCATTTTAAGAGTTACTAGGAAGTAAACTTTGACACATCATAGATGTTCATGGTAGAATTCGTTTTGCCATAATGGAACACTATAGAAACCTTAAAGTGCCCAATGACTAAAAAGGGCAGCAGCCACAACAAAGTATTCAGCTCTAATTTGTCTATGAAAAAGAAGGAAAGAAGCTCTACTTTCCAAAACCAATGGAGAGCCTGAGCTCTACCGCGTAACTCTCCACATATCGTGTTGCAGCATACAAACGTCAACTGCGCCCTGAATGTCAGGTGGACAGATTAACTATAAGTTGGCAGATCATACCGGGCTTCAATTTGCCAAATCAAGTAGAGTATCTACAAGCTTCTAAAATTTACGACCAAATTTTAAGTCTAGTATTAAGCAACTGAATTGCAGCCATTATATTTTATGATTATGTATGATATAATCCTGTGATCTTCAAAATTGATTATCTCCGACTTATCTTTTCAATATTATGATTCACCTCTTAGCTTAAATTAGGTCATAACAGTAGTGAATCGCCCATTAGTCGACCATTAGATCGGGAAATACTAATATCATCAATATAGTATTATGAATGCAGAATTATTCAATGATATATTTTATCTTTACAGGGCGATTCAGGTGGACCACTGGTGAAGGATTATAAACTAGCTGGATTGGTATCATGGGGTATACCTTGCGGAGTAGGTTTCCCCGATGTACACACTAGGATTAAACCATACGTTAACTGGATTAAAAAAAATATTCACAAACATTGTGGATAGACAATAAAATGTATGTAACAAGCTTTTGTTTTAAACCTTATTTTTTAAGAAAAAACGAGACCCCAGAGTTTTGTTAACGGGTACAAATTGAGCGAACGAACGATCAGTACATGACTTTACTTGTTCACAATTAAGTTCAATGGATATTGCTACTGAAATTTCATGTATAAGGGAGTGGTGCTATGTCTCCGCCCTGAAAAGAATTTGATTGTACGGTACTCATATTGTTTTAATAATAGCTAAAAATAAGTATGTGATAAATATTGACATTACAGAGCCTTTAATACACGATTCTTATTCTGTAGACCCTTCGCTATTTTTTTCACCAAACTTAGCGATGTGTGAGAGAGATAAAATTTTCAATATTTTATCATAAAATCATTTTCATATACCTTCATAATAATACAGTAGGTGCTCACGTTTTATAAAGTAAAAAAAGCATATGAGTAAGTAAGAAATATAACTACTACGAGGGTCAAACTGAAAGTTCTTAGAAAATCAAAAACTGATTACATTAGCCAGTTATTAGTTTTATTATATCTTTTCAAAATATTGTCCATTCACGTCAATACACCGCTGCATGCGATGGAACCACTGGGAAAAGCACTTTGCCCACTCGTCCTTAGGGGTCTCTTCAATGGCATCGCGATACGCAGCCACCGCTTCTTCAGCATTCATAAACCGCTTTCCTTTAAGTTTTTCTTTAATTTTTGGAAATAAATAAAAATCACAAGGCGCGAGGTCGGGGCTATACGGCGGGTGACCCAGTAATTCAACGTTTGATGTCGCCAAATAGTCGATCGTTCGCTTGGCGGTGTGCGACGAGGCGTTGTCGTGGTGAAGGAGGATCCTACTGCGAGGTCGTTTCTCTCGAACTTTTTCCAAGACAAGTGGCAAACAATTGGTAGTGTACCATTCTGCAGAAACTGTTTTTTGATCCTCTAACACAATTGTTGCAAAATGACCTATCCTTCCAAAGAACGAGGCCACCATTTTTTTTCCCGCACTTCGATCTCTCTTCACTTTAGTTGGCAACTCCTCGAAAGGAAACACCCACTGAGCAGATTGTCTTTTGGTTTTAGGATCATAACAGTAAATCCAGCTTTCGTCACCTGTTAGTATGTCGAACACAGCATTTGAGTCACCTCCGTTAAATCTTTCAATCATTTTACGACACCAATCCACACGATGGAGTTTTTGAGCCTCAGTCAAATTATGAGGTATCCACCGGGCGCAAAGCTTCCTGACCGCTAAATGTTCGTGGAGGATTTTGTGCACTTGACTCATACCGATGCCTAAGCTTGTCCGAATCTGTTGATAGGTCACTCTTTTGTCAGTCTCTATCATACGCCGCACAACACAGATGTTATCTTCAGTCGTCGCCGTAGAAGGCCGTCCCTCACGTAAATCATCAGTGAGATTAGTGCGACCACGTTTAAACTCATTAAACCAGTTGTAAACAGTCGCACGAGATGGGGCTTCATCGTGAAAGGCCAATTGTAGTCTATCATAACTTTCTTGTTGACTTAAATGACATCGAAAGTCATAAAAAATCATTGCACGAAAATTTTCTCGTGTTAAATTCATGATGACGTGACACAGACAATTTTCAATTTGCCGCCAAATCGTAAAACAAATGACAAATGAATGAAATATATACTCAGTAATATTGGCAAAGAGTTATATTTTCAAATTTTAGAATTATTTTTTTATTATATTGTTTATAAGTGGCCAGTTCTAAGAACTTTCAGTTTGACCCTCGTATAACAATGCAAGCCTTCTTAAACGCCGAAACGTTTGGCGTTTGTTGTTTATTATTTAATAAATGGGACTCTGAATGATACAGTAGTTCTATAATTTATTACTAACATTAAAAGTATTATGTATTTTTACTTATTCTTAGGTATATATTTTCCTTTGAAACGTAGAATTGTCTCCATATTAATCTGGAAAAAAAAGTCAAGCCTTTGCATTACCTTAATGTTATTATGGATTATAAATCACAAGAATTCAATAGGAAATGTAAAAAAAGATCTTGCATTATCTTTGCACTAGAATTATTAAGTTTAAATTACCTGGTATTCACAAACATGCGATTGACGTTTAAATTTCATAATAACTGCCATTACTGGACGTCCGTGAGCGCATTGGAAAGGAGTTTTGCAGGCCGATAAGGATGTTATAAGTTCAACACATTCTTTCTTGGATAACGTATCTCCAAACATTATTGAGTATCTACATGCCTGCAAAATAAATTTCATCATCATCATCAGCCTATTAACGTTCCATCGAAGGGAAACAGGTCTTCACTATGGATAAAAGCGAAAAGGAAAACGAGCTATGAACCACGACGTAAACACCGTGCTGATTGGTGGGTATTAACGGCTGCAGATACAGCTGGAAATTGGACGGAAATTTAGCAAAGCTAACTTTTTTAAATAATTTCATCTAAATCTGTACAGTAGTTTGACTGCGAAAACAAATAAACACAGATAATTGCACGTGCATTATACGTATTAACCTTACTCTTGAATCTGTACACTTATGAAAAAAGCATGGATATCCATTGTGTAGCTTAAAAGGTCCCAGCGTACAGACGATGCAAAGCGACTTTGTTTTATAGTATGTATATATTTCAAATGATGGAAGTTTGATCACCGGAAACTTTAAAGATATAAAACAGATTAGTTCAATTCAAAATAAAATAATTTCGGGAATGTAGAGAATAATATATTTTCAAAATGAGCAGTAGACGAAATTAAGTACTTTTAGTAGAGATAATTGTTTAGGTACCTAATACTGAACAAGTTATTGCAAAGGATACACTGTACTACGTCAAGTAAATAGTGTTCAATTGCGACAGTTAACTAACTTTACGATAATAGACATTACATATAATTAGGCCGGATTTTTACCTCATTGTTAACTAAGTTCATAATAGATTTTGGGTATAGGGAGATGCATCCTTTCTGACTCTTGATGTTAATAATTTCTTCTGTTATCAAATTTTTTGCCGCGTGTATTATCTTCTCAACCTAAAATTCGCAAGATTTTCTTTCTTTATAACTTCATAAAATGTGGAAAACACTATAGCCTCAAGCAATAAGTTATAAAAAAATTCACCTCTCTAGGAATTTGTCCAAGTATGGCAAAAGGTATAGCATGTAATTTTATTTCATTGTCATTTGCAATCGTCCATTGCAAACCAAATTGACTGAATTTTTCCTTATAATTATGAAGATACATTACTTCATCTTTAGTTAATTTTAGAGATACGTCATCCAGATCAACGCTGTTCCACGCGTTGCCGTTAAAGTAATCTAAGGCATAAAAAATCCAATTCAATATTTTAATCATTATCATTAAATGAATTAGTGTAGGTATCAGATAAGGCTATTTCCTAAGACATAACAGTTTTGCATAAACTTAAATTTATAGCACAAATGTATGTTTTTAAAACATACATACTTGATAAGAGTTTCTCTACTCGTATTCGTTCATGTACTGCGTGTTGATCAAATAAAATGAAATAATTTCCAGAATCACTTTCTCCGGTTAATATAGCTGCAATAAATTTATCATCGACTTGTCCCATTACTTTGGCATCTTTTAGAGACTTAGAACTAAATGTTAGAGATGATTTCGACTTTTCCAGGTGAATATTTAGTTTTTCAATGTTCTTCGTTGTAACATTTTCAGTATTAAGTACTTGTGCTTCATATAGTTCTGCGTTTGAATGGACATCATTATTGAAATTAAAGTATAAAGCCTGTAATCAATGTATAAATTGATTTGGTTAATATCTCAGTTTTATATTTATTTATAATATTTAAGTAATGAGGTAATTACATTATGATAATATTCATTTTCGAGATTATAATCACAGACACTCTTGGAGTTGCAATTTTCATATATAGGTGACATTCCTGTGAAGTTTAAGATGATATGTTATTTTCTATGTATATTTGATAGCTTTTAATAATCAAAAAGTTGTATTATGTTTTACCTTTGGGTAAAAAGCTAGATCTATTTTTTAATTTAAATGTAGTTGGATTTGGAAACATCTCATGTTTTTCATTATCCTTGTTAATAAAATAATTACTTTCAGTAATGCAATTAGAATCATTATTATTTAGGGGTATTTTATTGCATGTCTGTCCATTTTCAATATTGTAATTACGATTACTTTCGTTAGAAATATTGTTAGTTGGTGCACAATTATATTCGCAGAATATTGACACGTTACTATCATTAACGTCTTTTCCGCGAATAATCATATTTTGATTTTTTATTGATTCAGTGGGACTGCAAAACTTATAATGAGAGTTATTGTTAAAATTATGTTCAAATTGTATATCGCTATGATTAACAGAACCAAAAGTGTTTATAATCACGTCACATACATTAATTGGTTCTATAATGTTGTTACTTTTTTTAGAATCATCCGCATTTTGTGACATTGGTTCAAAAATAATATTTTTTTGGGGCTCCTTCATGTTATTTGTGTCAACATTTTTATTAATAACGACAGGAAATTCCCTATTCATATTTTCATCAATACCGATTGTTCTGAATACACGATTTTCAAATATTCGGTCATCATCATTTAGTATTACATTTGATGAAGTAATAGTATAAGTGAAACCATGATTTAATGAATTTGAATGTTCATTAGGATCTTTACATTTTTCCACTCCGTTCATTGTTTTTTGGTTTATACTCGTATTTTCCAATATCTTGAAGTTTTTTACATTAGTATTTTTTGATGAAGCACTTATATTTATTTCATTAAGTTTTTCTTGTATATTATAGGCATCTTTGACATGATACTTATTTTTCGGAGAAAACATAAATTTGCTTTTACGTTGAGCAAGAAATGAAGTGTTACTGTCTGGGATAATAAAATTGTCTTTTGAGTATTTACTTATGAAATGAGTTTTATGTTTTTTATTATGTTTTTTTAAAACATTATTAGAACATAAAGAATTATTTGTTAC